CACACCCCTGTCACCCCCGAGTCCTCAGCGGGGCTGACGCATGTGGTCCCGCCGGTGAGTCACTCCCAGACACCAAACTGGGAGAGCCCCGTCTGATGCCAGGCAGGGGATGGGAACGCGCTGCGTTTCACAGTGCCTCTTTGCAAGTTTAGTATAATGAGAGAGAACAGCAGAACATTGCAAGCTGAGTCAGGTAGGCACACGCAGGCAGCGACCTCCCTTGTGAGAGCCCCAGGAGTTTTTAGGGGCAAAAAGAGGGTACTGAGGTACAGCTCCACTGCCACCAGGGATGGCAGGGTCTGGCTGGAGGGGTCCTGCCAGCCAGGAGCTTCTTCTAACCTGCAACACTTTGCTTCAGCACCCACGGATGAAGAGCAAGGCCAAGGTGGGAGCTCACCGGCTCCATCCCCAGCACCAACCATGGGGAAGATCCCAGTGAGAGCAGGGTTTCCCCCACCTGCTTTGAACACTTCCTGAAGGCAGTCTCATTAAAGCGGGTGATTTAGCTTAACTACCATGGGTAGTTCACACGGCTGGGCCCACAATAGCAGCCAAGCTGGGGAGGAAATTGCATTACTGTATCTGGAGGTCTGGGGTGCTCAAATCTGAAAGGGAAGTAGCGGTTCAAACCAGCCAAGGCTTTAATACCAGATTAAATGCTTTCACAGGAGCCTGTCTGTTTGAAAGCTTCCAGCCAGCCTTTTGTCAAGCCAATTTAGTTTGCATTGTACTTTGGCTTCAAGAGGTACCTTAAAATGTGACAAGCAGCCCTTTATTTTTATTTTTTTAACATGGTATCTTAGCTTTCTTGGAAGGAATTCATGGACCTGAGATGGCCACTGCTCCATATGGGAAGGGAATGAAGTGCTTTAGTGGCAGAGGGGCTGAGCAAAGCTCCTCTCTCCAATGCAGTTGGCCTGAATGCATTATTGTTTAAGGAATCTATTGAGCATTTTGTCCTGAAAGACTTGCCATTTTAGAAGGCCGAATGAAGCTCCAACTGGGATTATCAATTTTTAATTTCCCCATTAGCAGAAACAGAAGGTTACGAGTCTGGTAGTTTCTCCTGATAGAGAGAACAGCCTATTTCCATACAGGGATTTTACTTTAAGAGGGCTAATTATCCAAAACCTTGAACCAGGCGGTAAGCCATGTCTCGGGGACACTGTGCCAGACCCCAGGTGCTTAAATGCGGCGATTTAGGAGAGTTCCTGGCTGATCCTGGGGCAGGTGGGAGCAGGAGGGCAGCTGGGCCGGGATGTGCAGCTGCACGTGGGCATCTGGCAGTGACAGCAACGGGATGCTCCTACCCTCCTGCAGGTGGGAAAAGAACCCCAGAAACAGCAAGAAGGAGCCTGTTCCCCAAGCGTGGGCCGGCTTCTGCTTTGAAATTTGGCACCTTGGAGACATGGGGCACAGACTCATAGGAAACCGCTGCTCCTCCACTCCCTGATGTGGGGACACAGAGGGACCTCTGTCTGTGCCCCCCCCCCCCGGCCCACTTCAGCCAGCCGAGGGGGGGCACAGCCGCCCCGGCTCTCCCCACAAGCGCATCCTTGTCATTCAAATGAGAAGCTGCCACAAAGGCGAGGGCCTTGCCCTGAACAAAGAGCCGCTTGGGACGGCAGAGGGGGATGCGGGTCCGTGGTCTCCACTGATGAATGCAAATGTCTCCATCCCCGGGGAGCAACTTCTCTGGGAACAACACAGACAGGCTTTGTGAGCCAGAGGCCGAGAGAGGCATCGCTCATACGCAAGCCCCCAGGAATGCCCAGCAAGCCCCAGCTGGAGAAATGCCTGGGGGGCACACACAGGCCTTCCCTGTCACCCCTGACCATGCAGTCAAGAAAAACCAGCTCACAGGGGTTTTTTTTTGCACCAACGCTCTTGTAACCAAACTAAAACTGTCCTGGCACTCCTGCATCCCTTAGCCACTGATGCCAGAGCCCATGTCCACAAGGGATGAGCTCAGTGATGCCACCACCAGCTCCCATCCTGGAACCCCAGCACCAGGGCAAATCATCTCCCTGGGACAAAGTGTCTCGCTCAGGGCTAAGCTCGGTCAGTGTTGGGCATCAGTCCATCCCCAAGCCATAGTTTTTGCTCGGCACCCAGCGTCCCACCCGCAATGGGCAGAACCCATCTGCTCAACAGCCAATTCCATTACAAGCCAACAGGTCCCCAGGTCAACATCTTCCGTGTACACACTCTACCATGCCAGCTCTTCTGAAAAATAAAACTTGAAGGTAGACCTCCCTTCAGACCTGGTTCAAAGCCCAGTGAAGTGAGAGGTCTTATATACTTTAGTAGTAACCGAGTAATAAAGTTTTTGCTGCTTGCACCCCTGAGATGCTCAAGTCCAACAGCCATAAAAGGATGCAATTTGTGAACGCTGGGCACTGTGGCGAGGAGGGGTTGTGGGGTTTACTGTAAAGGCAGCAGTGCAAAATGCAAAGTAATAAATCTCAAAAGCAACATAGTAAAATTCGAGAGAAACACTCAAGTCAAACTCTGTTCCATCTGCTATTTTATGCTCTCTTTGTTAGAGCAGCTAATGGAGAACAATAAAAACATTAATAATCAAGCTAGATTTATAAACTGGGCAGGATATTTCACTAGTAATGAAATCTGGAGAATCATTCAATATTATATTGCTTTGGGCAGCACTCTAACAAGAACTGCCTTTGAATTATAGCCCTCTTTCATTTTGTTGAACTTTAATTTGGCCCAGCATCACTGTTTCATTTAAAACAAACCTATAGCAGGACCGGAGTGTAGGATGCAGCTCAGATGCACAGTCCTGCTTGGTGCTGAAAGCCTCTCGGCTGCAAGGGCAGGGTATTTGGGATGTAAAAGCTCTGTTGACATTGTGCTCTATTTACTGCAGAGAATTGCTGGATATAATTTTCAAAGGTTAGTGGAGCTTTCTATTACCATGGTTTCATGCTTCCTAGTTTTCAAATATTTGGTTGAAATGCATCACAGATCTTTAATTTCTTAGTTGCTTCATAAAGTGGATGTCAACTAATTCTTAAAGCTCTCACTTCCCACACAGTGGTATTTTCCTGACAAACACCTCTGAAAACACTTGGCATTCTCTGCTCCCTGAAGCTCATTAGAGGGTATAAGCACAAACCTGCTTTACAATCAACCCCTTTGTAATCCCACCAGCGCCGTCTCGAGCCAGAGAGATGTATTTGCCCCAGCAAGGAGGGGAGAAATCACAGACACCCATCTGACATCATCTGCTCTGTACTTCCCAGCCTAAATAAGGCTTCATTTGAGTGTAGGGCTCTGTAATCCCCTTCTCCTGCAATTCACTTCTGCACTTTCACCATCCCCAGCACCTTTTGCTTTGTGAGACTGCCACAGCTCTTCAGCATGGTTTTGAGCTACTGCTCAAATCCAGTCCAGGGCTAAAAAGAAAAGGTACCTTAATGGCTGAAAGTTGTCAGTGATAACTAATAAGCCCCTTCGAGTATTAACATTTAACCTGTAAAAGCTGAGTGCAGCACGTATGGTAGCAAGGGTAAAAGTGGGTCAAAGACAAAGTTTGAGTCAAATTGACTGGGGCAGAATACACCAATTTGTGTGCCCTTTGCATGAAATATTAATTCCAGCTTTAACATTTGGTTGTAGGGGAAAGCAAATGCACCATAAAGATGCAGATGTGCCTTATTTCCCCCACATTTTCTATTCTGTTAGGAACGGATGGGGGACTGTATGCTTTGTCCTTCCCAGCAGGTATTTGAGCAGGAGCCTGGAGCCGGAGCACCCGGAGCCTCAGTGGCAGCGTCCTGGCGCACTGCTCCGTGCGAGCCTCACACATTAGATAACCCTGCCCTGCTGCAAATCCTCCCTCCCTCCTTCACAGCAGCACACAGGCAGCATTTTGAAATTCGCTGAATTTCAGGGAATTTCTCCAAACTGGCGGGTCCAGCTCCGGGACTGCTTGCCCACGCCCAGCCACAGCCAGCTTTCTGACACCCGGGGTTGACGTAGCTGTGGAGCTTCTCTGAGCTGGTATCAGCTACAAGAAACTTTTCCTCCTCCAGGAGAAAAGCCTCCATCTCTCCCCTCTCAGAGGAGACGGCATGAAGCTGTACTGACCTGCTGGCACCATGACCTGGCAGGTACGTGACCTAAGCCCTTGCTGCCTACTAAAACCTGTCACCTCCCTGCAAACCGAGCAGACACCCGTGAGCAGAGCAGCCTGACCACAGGGATGCCCATGCCGTGCAGACCACCGCAATGAAGTCAACCCTCCACCTGCTGCCGGCGCAGAGCAGCACCTAATGGATCCCCAAGCATGTCCCAGTCCTCAGGGATCGCTCTTGCTCCAAACGTGCCATTTTATCCCTCTTGCTGGCAGGAGTTTGTGTGGCTCCACTGCGGGCAGAGAGCCCTTGAGAGAGGCCAGCCCTTTCTCAGCACCTGAGAAATCACCATCTGTGTGCGAATGCTGGTGGGGCCATCACCCCACGGATGTTGGGCTGGGGGAAAATTGGGCCACCACACCAGGGTGCAGGGGGGCACAGAGTGAGGTGGGGGTGTGTGAGTACAACGGTTACAAGGGGACACGCAGCACACCGGGTGTGAGGGAGGGGGCACCCGGGCTTCAAAAGGGCTCCGTGCAGTGGATATGGAGTGGGGGGCACCGGATGCGGGGTGTGTGTGTGTAAATGGAGCTTTCCACGGGTGCGGGGGGACACCAGGTGCAACGAGAGAGTGCCTGGAGGAGAGCGGGGAGCACCGGGTGTAAAAGGACACCGAGCAGCGGGTGCAAGCTGGAGGGCACTGCCTGCAACGGCGGGGGGGACACCGAGCAGCGGAGCGCCCCGGGGAGCGTGTCCAGCCGCCGGGGCTCGCCCGGAGCCGCGGGGACCAGCGATGCCCGGAGGTGTGTGTGTGGTGATGGTTGGGGGGGGGAACACCCAGAGATGTGGGTGTCGGGTGCGGTGGGAGCGGAGAGGAGGCGCGGGGGGTCGCGGATAACTCACAACTCCTCGGGCGATGTCGTCCGCCGCGGGGGTCGGCGCCGCCGGCGCTTCTTGCCACGCCAGCCACAGGGCGACCACGAGGAGCATCTCCCGGCGGCGGGCGCGGTGCCGGGCGGCGGGGCTCAGCATCCCCCCGCGCCCCGCGTCCCCCCCCGGCCGGGCCCGGGCCCGCGCTGGGCTCCGCCGAGCCGCCGGGCTCCGCGCTGCATCCGCGCTCCCGCCCCGGGCTGCGGGCGCCGCCGGGGAGGTACGGACGGACGGACGGACGGACGACGCTGCCCTGCTCCGCCGAGGAGGTTCCGCGCTGCTCCGCTCCGCGGTTCTCCGCCGGGAAGGCTCCGCCGCCGGGGCGGCTGGTGCGCGGTCACATCTCCCCGCTCCCGCACTCCGCGGAGCGAGAAAGTTGCTTCGGGCGCTGCCGCGGAGCGGAGCGCGGCTCGGCTGGGGCTGCTGCCCGGGGCCGCCGCGGCTCTCTCGCTGCTGCCATGCACCCCTCTGCGCCCCGCCGGCCGAGCGCCCGGCCAGCGCCGGGGGGGGGGGGGGGAGGAGGAGGAGGAGGAGGAGGAAGGGATGCTAATGAGGGAGGCGGTGTCAGGGCTCCGCCGGGGAGGGGCCGGCACAGCGCGGACTGGCCGCGGCGCTGCGCAGCGCCGAGCACCGGCCGCGGCCCCAGCGCAGCTCCCCCCCCGCAGCTTTGTGGCTGCGTCTGGTTGAAACAACGCCTCAGGCTGCCCCCACGCTCCTTTCTAAACATCAACATCTCTTTAAGTACCAGCGTCACCCTCCGAGGTTTTTTTTTTTTTTTTTTTTTTTTTTTTTTTTTTGTTTTTTTTTGTTTTTTTTGTTTTTTTTTTTTTTAAGGTGCTGCGGAAAAGGCTGGGTGGTTGGTGCATCTCCCCCGATAGCCAGTCTCAGCGAGACAAATGGCTCGCTTGTCCCCATAAACAGCATAACGGGATCCTGTGGCCGCTGCAGCGTGCCCTCCCCTGAGAGCTGTGAATCTGCCACATGCTCTGACAGGCCAGATGGCAGGGGACACCCTGACATCTCCAGCTCCTGCCAGTTCAGGATGAAAATGTACTTCATACTTAGCATCTGTGTTCCCCACTTCCTATTAGCACATTAATATGCTCAACAGCTTTGGGAATGATCTTTAAAATTGTTTTAAAACGGAAACTGTAAATGTACTAAAAAAAAAAAAAAAAAAAAACAAGTAAAAAATGGAAATATGAAGAGCTGGCAGAGATGAAAAATTGCTTCTAGATGCTGCTGGGGCAAAATTGTAATGGACATTGATATGACACCTTCTGCACAAATTGATTAATTCGGCAATGAACCATAGCTGCTTCTGGAAATGTTTAACATCAGACAGGATAGAGCAAAGCAGTGGAGGAAGAAAGAAGAAATCATTGTCCAGAAGAGACCAGTTAAAGAGAATTGACAGGGAGACCTCACTTCCTACTACCCTATGTCTTCGTGAGCTTGTCTGAAATTACTGCTCCAACACCAGAGAAATATAAGGGAAAAGCCCTGGATTGCAACTACCTGATGTAGCTCAAGAACTGTTATCTCAAGAGCTGTGCGCCTCACTAAAGCAAAGTTCAGCTTCTTAAAAAGCCTAGCTAAGCCCAGCCTCTGGTTCCATAGAAGCACAAAATGGGGGGTTTCCAAAGGGCAGGAGCTCAGCGATGGGGCTGGCAGCTCCCGCTCACCATTTCATTTCACTTTGGAAAGATGCCCATGGCCACCTTCCCACAAAGCCCCCATCTCCCAGGGGGTTGTTCCCCCCTCTGTACGTCCCTCTCCCCTTTGCAGGACTCACTCCTTTGTGCATCTCCTGCTGCCCCTGCCTCGCCCTGTCCATCCCGCAGCTGCTGCTGCTCTCAGAGGGAGGTCTTTTCCTCACTTCCAATAACTATCACACCAACTCCGATGAGATGAGGATTGTTATTTTCTCTATTCTGGAATCCGTAAGTCTGAGCAGAAATCAGCAACTACCCAACACCCCTCAACATTTCTGGGGTTTTCCAGTGGAGAAGTGTTATCCTGGGCAGGCAGGCCAGCCTGACATTGCTTAGCAACATCACCTGCAGTAATTTCTTGCTCAAGCAGCTCTAGAATCTCTTCTTATTAGGGGTCATTTCTCTTGGCACTTGACATGGCTGTGGGCAGATCAAAGTGATCGTTGGGAGGAAGGTGAAGGCAGCACAGCCATGCAGGGCTGGAAGGAACATGAAGCAGTGACTCAAAATCCCAGCATTTAGGACAAACCTGCAGCCCTAAGGGTGAGCGGCTTCTGCAGCGACTGCTTTGACAAGGTGAAAACTTCCAGCATAAGTTCACTGGTCTCAGTAAAAGACACAAAATGGGTTTGGGGTTGTCACTGGCACATTCTGCAGCACCCAAAGAATGCTTTCTAGAGGTCTGGACTCCCTTAGGACTGCTCAGCAGAAAACCCCTCTGTCCCTCTACGTGGCATAGTTTGCATGCTAGCCTGGTCCCCACACCAGGCAGCTTGCAGCTCCAGGGCTTGGTCCTACCCCATACCAGTACCACCTCTTCTACACTGGCCACACCATCCTGTAGCAGCAAGGTTACCTCAGCTACCTTCCTCATGTTTCTAGAAAACGTTGCACACTCCATCCTGACCTTTAATCCTGTTTCACAGATGAGGGTAATGAAGGATAAAGGTTCATCGTGGGCAGCCTGTGAGCTGTTGGACCAAAGATAAAGTCTGAAGTCTCTCCAGCTGGAAAAGTTTTGCTCTTAACTTCAAGGGGTCAAGATTTTAGGGCATATGTTACCATTTTATCTTCACCTCCTAGGTCATCACATCAGGGACAAAAAAATTCTTCACAGTTTCCATCAGAGTGGGTGTTTTGAGCAGATTGACAGCAGGGAAAATGGAAGATGCTGCTCCATATCAAATGTACTTTAATCCTTTTAGATTCTTTCCTGTGGCATTAAGCGTAAGAGTACTCATTTTTATGAAGAGAAGAATATACTAAAACTTGCCTACTGCAAGAAAATAATTTTCTCACAGCTGTTTCTCACATACATGTATTACAAACAGGCATGGGCTGTAATTTCAGAGTTTTGGGTGTTTGTGGAACATTTTGCTGAAGCAGACTCGACCCAAGCTGCCAGCTCCATCCTCCCACTGAGGAGCACAGTGCAGAAGCCCAGCTTCCCAGCTCTCCTTTGCACAACCTCCTGCCTCCAACATACCAGGAATGAGTTTTGCCTGAATTGGGGTAGATCAGCTTTTGGTGTAGCAGATGGTCAGGTGGCCACAAGCAATGTCAAAAGCAAAAATAAATGAATGTCTTCTATCATCTATTCCTGCTAACAACCCCTGTTGGGGAGGCCTGTCATGTTAGGGTAGCTGCAGATACTATAGTAAGAACCAGGACTCAAACAGCACTGCCAAAATCAAGCTTTTGAATCCCATCAGCTACTCTGTGGCAGATGGAAAGAGGTCCCCAGGAGACAGCAGGCTTTTAACACCGAGCTCACTTAATGAGGACTGGACTCCCTGCTTTCTTGGATGCAGGGTTCACCCTGCATAGGTGAATTTTGTATTCCTGGGTGGTCAGGACAGTTTTGTCTGCAACTTTAAAAGCCCAAGTGCTGCTTTGGCCCCCTCTATGTGCAGAAAAAGCAGAGGTGTGCATGGGGAGGTGAGGAGACCACCCCTTGCTCTCCCCTGTTGACACAAGGTCCTGAGCAACCAGCTTCAGGGACAAAATTTCAGCTAGTGGGAGTTAGGGGGATGGGCAGCATCCTTGGTTCTGATCAATAAGCACCTCAGCTCATAGCTCAGGATCCCCACTCGCACCCCAACTGCTTTAGTGTGGGCTCTGGTTCAGGACTGTGATCCATGCACCTTCCTCCTCCTGGGACTGGAACAGAGCCACGTGCAGGGTAGGAGTTGAACAGTTTTGCAGATCTGGCTGAGAAAACAACCATTCAACCCCACAAAACCCTCACAGTGTTTAGGTGGCCAAATCCCACTGAATTTTACAGCCTCTCACTTCTGCAGTTGTCAATGCCTGCCTGCCCTGTTTCATTGTCTGCCCAGGTATCAGTTATTAGCATCTGCGTTGTGGTGCAAGACTGGCTCTGAGGTGCTGTCACAAGAACTTACCATGTGAATAATTACAAATGCTGGATGAGTAGGTGTTTTGTCTGTACCTTAAAGATATTAAAAGGAATTCCCAACATATTTATAAACATTTTTAGCAGGCATTTGTAAAAGACAAGATGGTAGATTTCTACATGTTAATCAAAAGCTGTCACAAATTACAGTACCAAAAGAGTCTACAGCCATGCCATGTACAAACATCAGGGAGATACTCTTTAATAGCTTAATTTTATCACATGAGAATTCCTCCTCCAACAAAACACCGCTTGATCATCAAGGTCCAAAGAAATATCGGAGAAGACCTAAACCCTCAGACTGTTGTAGGATATGTATTCAACTTTAAGCGTATGAATAAGCATGCTGACATCACTCTAACCAAATGAATGTAATAAAAGTATATCTCTTCCTGGGAAGGTGGAATCTGTGCACAACATAATGAAGCAGATTGTATGGATGCCATCAGCTCCTTACAGCTACAGAGTGCAGTTAGGTAATATGAAGAACCTAGTTAGAACAAACTGAACTGTGAATATTTTTTCTCTTTCCCTTTCAGTCAATAAAACCCCACCACGATGGCACAGGTCATAAGAACAATGACGGGGTAGATAGAGTTTTCATGCCATTCATTACACAGGCGAGTTGCTGAATCAAATTTATTTAAGGAAGGAACAGCGTGATGATTTTAATTCTGTTAAGTGTAGCTTCCAAAATGCATTCTTTATGCTTCATTTGTTGTAAATGAATGACTCAGTTAAAACAGCATTTCAACACATTTTAGCCAAAATATTTGCTTTGCACAACAACAAAATACGAAATAACTGCAATCATCTGTAAGTAAGAACAAGCAAATTGACAGACACAGCAGATAGCTGTTTATTGTGATACCTATAGTCTTTTTTAGCACAAAACTTTAATGCAAAGCAAGAAATGCTAGTAAAGGTGATTTGCAAGTTCACATTTCCCTGATCTGCCCGTTATTGTCAGTGTTTAGAAAAAACTGTAAATAAGTACACTGTATTTTTTTTCTTTCCACATACATTCCAACCAAAATGCACGTACTTAAGATATTTTCACTTTTGTGCACCAGGATGGTAAGTACAAATTTAAAATGTGATTATCTTCTAACTGTATATGCTGTGTGCAAGATGAAGATTTTTCCTCTCAGTGTCTTTAGTATAATTAGCATGTATGACAACATTCAGACGATTTAATTTCCCAATTATACAGCTATACTGAAAATATCCTTTGCATTAAATATGCAGCAATTCTTATCAGTAGATACTCTACAACTTCTGCCCTGTTATATCACTGCAGATGCTCATGTTTTGGCAAGTTGAGAAATGATAATTTTCTGCCCTATTGACCAGGGAGACAGAA